AGCCCCAGGTCAGTGTACAGCCCCGGGTCAGTGTACAGCCCCGGGTCAGTGTACAGCCCCAGGTCAGTGGACAGCCCCAGGTCACTGTACAGCCCCAGGTCACTGTGAAGCCCCAGGTCAGTGTACAGCCCCAGGTCAGTGTACAGCCCCGGGTCAGTGTACAGCCCCGGGTCAGTGTACAGCCCCAGGTCACTGTACAGCCCCAGGTCAGTGTACAGCCCCAGGTCAGTGTACAGCCCTCCCAGCCGAGCCCTGGTGCCCAGAGTGGCCGCACAGGGACGGGGCAGAGACACAAACACGGACACATCGCGAGGCACCGGAGCCGTGTCACGTCCCCCTCTGCCCTGCGACAGCCGAGAGCGGGGCTGGGAGCGCGGGGGGAACCGCAGCGTTTAACGGCAAATAAACACAAGCGGCCGCTCCCGCCGCGCTGAGGGCCCGCGCTCGCAGGGAGGGCCCGGCTCCCGTTCCCGAACCGTGCCCGGCTGCTCCGCCGGGCTGGCCCGCGGCCCGGAGCTTTGTTCCCCCGCCGGGACCAGGGCCGGGCCGTGGCCGGGAGCGGGGCTCGAACCCGCGCCATCACAAAGGGTCACTGCCCGGCCCGGCCCGCCCGGGGCGGAGCTGACCCGTGGGCGGGGCCTGTATGCAAATGAACCACTCTCGCTCCCCGCGGATTGGCAGCTCTCCGCCCCTTCGGGCGATATGCAAATAAGCAGGGTGGGTGGACCAATGGCGTGGCGAAGAGGCGGCCGTATGCAAATGAATCCGTTATGTGATGTCAGGGGCGGGGCCAGCGCGGTCCCGGGGGTCGCAGGGAGGGCCCGGGGGGGGCACGCGGGGGACAGCGGGGGGACAGCGGGGGGACAGCGGGGGGACAGCGGGGAGAACCGAGGGGACACACGGGGTAGGGGCGTCCCGGGTGAACGGGGAGGAGATGGGAGTGCCCGGGGACTCAGCGGAGGACTCGGAGCGGATCGGGGATCAGGGCGCACCGGGGAAATCGGTGAGCACCGAGGCGCTTCGGGGGTACCGGGAGGATACAGCGGGACCCGGAGCCCGCAGCCCCGCCTGCCCCGGTCCCGTGGCTGTTCCCGCCCGCACCGGAGCTCCCCGAGCCCAGGCCCGGGGCCCCATCCTACCTCTCGCCGGCCCCGGCAGCGCGACTCACCGAGTGACCGGGCACCGGCAGCTGCAGAGCCCGCCCGTCCTTCGGCTCCGCCGACTCCTGCCCAGACAAGTTTCGTTTCTCCAGCGAGCCGCCAACTTTCGTTTTTCTTGTCACGGTCCCCGCCCAGCCCCGGGCCGCCCCGGCCAATCCCGGTCCCGGCCACCGCCCGCGGGCGGCTCTGGACGGGTCCCGCCCCGTCCGGCTCCATCCACCGAGCATCTCTCGGGGCTCTCCCCCGGTACCCCCCGAGCATCCCCCACACACAAAAGCCCGGTGCAGGTGCCCCCCGGCCGGAGCCGGCAGCAGCAGTGGGGAGCGCGGCTGTGCTGCAGGAGAGCGCATTGTGCGGGACCCGACAATTAAAAGCGGATTCCGCAGTCAAAAGTAGGGACGCGGCTGGTGCCCCATCCCGGATCCAGCCAGGACCAAGCCGAAGACGGGCTCTCCCAGCAGCCCTGACCTCCAGCAGTGCTCACACACATTCCTAAACAACCAGCCCATTTTACCCCCATTCCCGTTTTCCCCCTGAACTCCCAGCTCAGCGCAGCTCCGGACGAGGAGCGCTCCAGGGCAGCACCGGAGCTCCCGGCAGGTCCGGGGCATCTCTGCTGCCCTTGCAGGAGCTGTGCCAGAACGTGCTGCCCTCGGGCCCGGCTCACCCGCACAGCCCCAGCCTGCTTTCGGTTTCTTTTCCCCGGCATGCCCAGCAGCACCGAGAAGATAATCTCCCCTTCCCACACAAAAGGAGAAAGCTTTGCCTCAGGAAGGCAGAGATCGCACTGACTCATTAGCAATTTCTCATTTATTACACCCTCGCCGTCGCCCGAGGGCTGTTCAGGGGAACTGAATTGCCCAGCAGGTGCTGGCCCCATGGCACAGCTGGGCACAGCCTGGTGCCACCGTGCCTGTCCCCTCGGCAGGGCCCACGCCAGGGGCTGCACCCCAGGGTGACAGCCCAGCCCTGAGCCTGGACACGGTTTGGCACAACACCCCACAGACAAGGATAAAAAAGATAAGAATAAGTAAGGATAAAAATCAGTGGGGAGCACAATCCCAGTTGTTTTCCCTCTCCCAGCAGCCGGAGGCTGAGCCCCCATGTCCACATGGAGGGCAGCACGAGCAGCCCTGAAATAAGTTTGACGAAAGCTCGCGCTGAGTCATCACTGGAGCGGCCCAGAGCATGAAAAGGGTCCAGAATTAAAACAGTTCTTTAAAAAACAGCAGCAGCTCCCTGGAGGAAGGAGGGCTTTGCACTGGTCACTGTGAGAGGGCACAGTTTTGTCCCCCCGCCCGTGTGGGGTTGGGCTGGCGCTGCTCTCGGTGTCCAGGAGGCCTGGCTGGGGCAGGTGGTTCCCACGGAGTGTTGTTGGTGTCCCTGGGGTGTCCCAGCACATTCAGCCCAAGCTCGTGTCACTGGATGAGCCCGGTGCTCTCGGCAGTGCTGGTGAAGGGCTCTGCCAGCTGCCCCCCAGCTCCGCTCCCCTGCTCCGCTCTGGGACAGGAACGGGGGGAGCAGAGTCAGGCTCATGTCCTGCCCCTGGCTGGGACAGTTTGTTGTTCCCAGGAGCTGGTTCAGAGCGGTGTTTGGATTCAGGATGAGACTCCTGTTGATAAGAGCCTGATGGCTCAGTTGCTGCAGAGCAGTGCTTACACTGAGCCAAGGACTCCTCAGGAGCTGGGAGGGGGCAGAGCCAGCAGAGCTGTCCCCGTGCCCAGAGGGATGTTCCAGAGCACAGGGCATCGTGCTGAAGGAAACCCTGGGGGGGTTTGGCCGAGGGCTGACGGCCACTGCTCAGGGGCTGGCTGGGCATTGCTCAGTGGGTGGTGAGCAACCACCCTGTGCATCACTGCCTTTGGATATTCCTTTATCATTATTATAATTTTCCTTTTCTGTCCTGTTAAACTGCCTTTATCTCAGCCCAAGGGTTTTAGCTTTTCTCTGATTCTGTCCCACCCCTCTGTAGGGGAAGTGAAGGGCTCTGTGGTGCTGAGCTGCTGCTGGGGTGAACCAGCAGAGGTCACCCTGAATCCCCAAGGCTGGGGAGACCAAATTCTTTGGAGGGGCTCCAGCTGACCCTCCCAGGAGCCCCTGCAGCCCCCAGACTGCTGCTCTGCATCTGGACAGGTCAGATCCCCATGGGTGTCCTCCAGAGCCACACTCATCCCGTCCTGGGAGAGCAGCGCAGAGCCTCACCTGCCTCCTCCCAGCTGGGGAAATGCTGGAATCCTTCTAAGTCTGCAGACAGGAGGACTTGGAGAACAGGGTCCTGAGGACAGAGAAACCTGGGCTGGGGGAGTGCTGGCCACTTCCCAACCCCCAGGGCAGAGCCCCCAGCCGTCCCAGCGCCCTGCAGCATCCAGCTCTGTGAGATGAAGGCTTGGGATGATGATGGTGCCGGGCTGAGCCCACCAGCCACAGCCTCCCTGGGCCTGGGCTGGGGTGGCCGAGGTCCCACACACCTTCAGGCCACAGAAGGCCAGCGAGAGGCCGTGCCTGCGCAGCTCCTGCAGCAGCTCTGCCAGCCCCACCACCACCGTGTAATCAACGCTGCTGATGTGGCTACAGTCCAGGATGACGGAGCGTGGTGGAGATGCTGCTGGAAGAGCAGAAGGTCGTGTCCCTGACGAGTGCAGAAATGACCAGCCCGGGGGTCACAGAGCCAGGGCAGGGTGGGACAGCTCTGCTGTCACCGCTTGCACCCGCAGTCCTTGGGCAGCAGCTGCCACCCAGGGCTGAAGTGATCCAGGAGGTGACAGCCGTGTCCCCAGGGTGACAGACCTGCCAGAGCACGGCTGCACACCGAGTCCCGCAGGTGCTCCACGGCTGGGAAGTGCAGGCTGCTCCCCGGCTGGACCAGCAGCACCGCCCCCTCCGACACCTGTGCAGGGAGAGGAGACACAGGGAGCTGTGACCTTCCCCGGGCGGGGACAACCTCCCGTGTCACTCACTGTCCTCCTGCATGGACTGGGGGAAACAGGAGCCCCCATCCCTCGGGGAAAACCCTCCTGCACGCAGCCCAGCGTCAGCAGGACAGGGACAGCCCGTGGCAGCAAGAACAGGTCAGGAGCATCCCGCACACCTCACTGCCCTCAGGAGCCCCCTCCCAGCTCCCAGGCACACCCAAGGGGAGGGGTGAAGCCCACCTTTATTGGGGGCCTGGCAAGGGAGTAGAGCAGGAGAATCCCAGAAACCAGCACCCCAGCCACGATTCCATACTGAACCTCCCAGAAGCAGAGCAGGAATGTTACACAGAGGGGCACAAGGTCCAGCCCTGCAAGAGAGACAAGCCAGGCTCGGCTGTGGCTGGTCCTGGTGCCACAGGGCACAAATCAGCTCTGCGGGCAGAGCCGGGCTGCAGCCGGGCCGGGAGGAACCCGCTCCGGGCAGGCGGCTCGGGGCAGCCTCAGAGGAGCTGCGGGCTGAGCTCTGGGTGGGAGCGCTTGGAGGGGCCGTGAACTGAACCCTTTGCATAACAAAGGTCTCAGGCACCGTGGGAAGCCACAGGGTGGGACACTGAGAGAGTGATGGGACACACTCAGTGATGGGACACTAAGTGATGGGACACTCAGAGACTGATGGGGCACTCAGGGACACGGCAGGAGACAACCACCCCCAGACTTGTCTGTGAGGGGATAAAAGGCTCCTTTGTTCTGGATCCCTCCTCAGGAACACCCAACTCGAGCTATTCTGTTTAGTTAATGGCACCATGATTAAGTGTGAGACTCTGCAATGGGAAACCTGGTGAGGAAACCTGGTCTGAGTGAGTGGGGAGCCGTGAAGGAGCCTCTGTCCCAGCTCAGGGGGCCGGTTGTGACTGCGGGAGTGGCTCCTGCACGGGGGACTGGGGAGTTTCCTTTCCAGGGGGATCGCCCGTTCCCGACCGATGCCCTCACTCTTAACCCGCCAGAGCGTGCGGAAGATGCCAGCGTCGAACATGGGCACCACGGCCGAGATGATGACAGCGGCCAGCGCCGCTTTGGGGATGTAATAGAAGAGAGAGGTGAAGTACGCCAGGGACAGCAGGACCAGGGCACCTGCGGGAGGGGGGACCCTGAGCCACGGGCACCCCGACACCCGGGGGTCCCCGACACCAGGGGTCCCTGACACCCGGGGCTCCGTGGTGCCCAGGGCTCCCCGGCACGGGCAGCAGCCCAGGGGCAGGCAGGGGCAGGGCTGTACCTGTGACGAGCCCTCCCGCGGGGGTGCAGACCCCTGACTGAGCATTCACCGCCGTCCTGCAAGGCAAACCCAAAACCCACACATCCCAGGCTGCGCAGGGCCGGGGCTGCTCCTGCCCAGAGACCCCGCCCGGGGGAACCACCCGCCCTGTCAGGGAGGAACATGAGCAAGCCCCTGGCTTCCAGCTGGGCTGCTGGGGACCAGGACACGAGCTCAGGGACCCACCGGGGTCAGTGCAGTCTTCCACACAAGATCTTGCAGAGCTCCCTCACCACGCAGCCCCAGCGAGTGCCCTGCTCCCCCCCTGCTCCCCCCATGCTCCCCACCTCTACCCACCGGCCAAAGCTGCCCGTGATGGGATAGGAGGAGACGAAGGAGCCCAGGACATTGGCGACGCCTGAGGAGAGAAGGAGAGGGGCTGGGGAGGCTCTGCTGTGTCTGTGTCCCCGTCATGACCTTCTCCCTTCCCGGATCGGGGGCTGGACAGTGCCCACCCAGCTGTGCAAGAGCGCTCTGGAAATTCCTGAGCTGTGAGAACACCCAGGGTGGGGGCGTTCAAGCATGCAAGGTAAGGAAGGGAAACGTTCAGGTGGAGGCAGGACTGCCCAGACGGGGATCCCAGGCGGCTCAGGGGCCGTGGGACACGCGGCAGTCAGCCCTCCTGACCAAGCAGCTCTTACCCAGAGCCAGCAGCTCCTGGTTGGGGTCAATCCTGTAACCATTCTGCGAGGCTGAAAGGAGATGTTTGCATTGGCCTGAGGTTCCCTCAGAACGGAACAGTGCCTGGGACAGTGTGGGCCCTGTCCTGGCAGCCCCTGGCTGCAGGAGCACCCCGAGACAACGCTCACCTCCTGGCAGATTTCAGCTGTGCACCCCACAGGGCCCCTCCTGCCAGCCCATGCTATGAACAGGATCCCAGCCCTCCCAGTGCCCCAAAAGGAACAGCACCTTCCCCAGCACCCCAAGCCCTTTCAGAGACCCCTCCCTGCACCCCGAGCCCCGCAGGGACCCCCTGTGAGCACAGGGCAGGACCTGGCACAGCCCTACCGAAAGCCTTGGCGATGGCCACGGTCTCCAGCAGCCCCATGAGCGGCACCACGGCCAGCCCGACCCCCATGTCCTGGGAGGGAAGATCCAGTCAGGGGGGCCGGGAGCTGGCACAGGCAGCAGGGAGCAGAGCAGCCCCTGGAGCTGCCAGCACCCACCTGCAGCATGCTCTGGAAGGGGACGGTGCCGTTGGGCGCTGCCAGGGAGAAGCGTGGCGGCCGGAAGGCGGGGAGGCCCTGCGGGATGCTGCCAGTGAGCCGGAAGGGCTGGGAGCCCATCACCTGGAAGGAGTAAGCCACCAGGCCGGCAAACAGGACAACGAGAGCATTGCGTGCTGCCAGAGGGGAGAGAGCGACACTGAAACCTGCCCGGAGCCCAGGGCAGTGGGAGGCGGGCAGGAGATGGGGATCTGAGCTGCTGAGGACTCCCGAACCTCAGGAAGGGCACAGGACCCTTGGGGCTTTGTCCCCTGACCCAGGGGACAGCTGACACACCTGTGGCACAGATCCACACAATCAGGTAGCTGATCCTGACAGCCAGTGGCTCTGCAGGGGAGGCTCGAGGCAGGTGGCTCTTCATGGCCCGGAGCCCTGCCAGCGCAGCCAGGCAGCTCAGCCCCAGCACAGCGTCCCCAGCCCTGCAAGAGGCACGGCAGTGCCACCCCAAACACGCTGTGGGGACGGGGAGAGCTCCCACAAAGCCCCAGGGCAGAGGGATTGTGTCACAGCGCTGGGCAGAGATGAGAAATCGGTCCGAGGTGAG